GGTGCATCCGGGAGGCACTAAGATGTATCGGGATTTGGGTCCTTGTTCTGGTGGCGGGGTATGAAGGAGATGTGGCAGTTTTCGTATCTAAGTGCCTTACTGCCAAACAAGTGGAAGGCCGAAGCATCAGAGGCCAGCGGGTTTGTTGCAACCCTTGCCTATGCTGAGTGGAAGTGGGAGCATAGTCATATGGACTTTGTTTGTAGTCTTCTGAGGCCTTCAGCGGGGTAGTTGATGCCATTTGGGCTGGGTTGTATGACCGTTGACTAAGTCGGCGGCACTTCATTCCCATGCGCGTGAGACATTCGGTAGATCATCTCGCCGACTTGTATATTCGGATACGTAGTGAGATTTGCACGGGGTCGCCAAGTGACGATCGTCTTGCAGATAGGAGATCCTCGTTTTACTGCTAGGTTGTGGCAGAGTTTGCAGAGTGCCTTGGGCACTAAGTTGGCCTTTAGTACGGCTTATCATCCTCAGACTGACGGGCAGTCCGAGCGTACTATTCAGATCCTGGAGGATATGCTTCAGGGTTGTGTCCTTGACTTTAGTGGGACGTGGGAGAGGCACTTGCCCTTGGTGGAGTTTGCCTACAACAACAGCTTTCAGTCTAGTATCGGTATGGCGCCGTTTGAGGCCTTGTATGGCCGACCTTGTAGGTCTCCAATTTGTTGGGCCGAGGTAGGTGACGCACCTTTGTTGGGCCTGGAGTTGGTGAGGGAAATGACGGAGAAAGTTGAGCTTATCCATAGGAGGCTTGTTGCAGTCCAGAGTCGTCAGAAATCTTATGCCGACCATAGGAGGAGACCTTTGGTGTTTGAGGTAGGTGATCATGTCTTTCTAAAGATATCACCTAGGCGGGGATTGATGAGATTTGGGAAGAGAGGGAAGTTGTCCCCTCGGTTTATTGGCCCTTTTGAGATCCTTGAGAGGATTGGCGAGGTTGCCTATCGTTTAGCTTTGCCGCCGCAGTTGTCCGGAGTGCATGACGTGTTTCATGTGAGTATACTTCGGAAGTATGAGCCGGATCCATCACATGTATTGGATTGGACCGACTTGGAATTAGATGAGGATGCCTCGTATGAGGAGAGACCGGTTCGAGTCTTGGATAGACGGGATCAAGTTTTGCGAGGCAAAACCATCCCTTTGGTAAAGGTTTTGTGGAAACATCACGGGAGGAGGAAGCTACTTGGGAACGTGAGTTGGAGGTCCGAGAGAAATATCCGGATCTATTTGTAGATGTTTGAGCACATGTTGTATATTTTGTTATAATATTGAACCTTAAGTGTATTGAATATAACTTAGGTTGTGAAACATGGTTTATGTTTTGAGTTTACGGATGTATTGTAAAACTTGCCTAGAGTTGGAAGTTTGATATGACATTGCATATGTTGAATGTGTTATAGAAGTGGCATTATATAAGAGCTTTATATATGTCTTAAGTTGTAAAACATTGAGTTTGTATTGGTAAATGGGTGTATCTTGAAACTTGCTTCATTATAGAAGCTTAGTGTAATATTGCATCTGTTGAGTACATTGTTGAATGGGTTGTATATATCATGCAATTGAATATGATATGGGAATTGTTCACTTTGAAAAGGAATAATGCATAATAATGATACAAGTTGAAATATATGTTGTTTTATATATTGTGAGATGCCTCTTGAGAAAGAGATGAAGTGACCAATATTGGGTCAAGTTGTTTAGTATTGTTATATAATATCTTTTGGAATTGAGAAAAACCTGCTTAAAAAAAGTATTTAATTTCGGGGACGAAATTCTTTAAGGGGGGGAGGTTATAGCGATCCCGGGTTTTTACCCCTTGTTGTACAGTGATCCGGACTTGGTTCCGTGGATGTTAGTAGTTGTATAAATCTTGTTTACGTCCTTTCATACTTTGTATTTGAGTTATAGGATGTGTTGGGCAGGTTTGTTACAGGTTGGTTGTGTTTGGGAGCAAATGGTTGCTGCCCAGAATTTTGGTCCTTCGCTCGAGCGAGAAGTTTGTCGCTCGAGCGAGCCTCTTGTTTTGGTTCTTCGCTCGAGCCAGGGTTTCATTCGCTCTAGCGAGAGTTAAGTTTTGTGTCTGGTGGATCGAGCCAGAGTGGCTTCGATCGAGCGAGCGTCTGCATCTGGTTCTGGACCTGAGAGCTGTGTTTCTACGCTCGAGCGAGCTTTCCTTCGCTCGAGCGAGCGAGGTGTATGTTTTCGAGTTCCTCGCTCGAGCGAGAATTCTGTCGCTCGAGCGTGCTTCTGGGTTGCAGACCTGAAGCTTCGAGTTTTTGGCTCGAGCGAGGGTTTCTTGTGTCTAGTCGCTCGAGCGACCAAGTCTTCGCTCGAGGGAGCCTGTTATATATCAGTAGACAGCAGTGGGTTACACTTAGTATTTTTCATTCTCTTCTTTTTCAAAACCCTAGAGCCGACTCTCTCTCTCTCTCTATACTTGGCTTCTCTCTAAGGTATCTTCTAGCTAGGGTGTGAATCTACCCTAAGTCCTTTGTTAAAAAGATAGAGTGGGTTGAGGGCTCCGTTTTAATCTGAAAAACTTGGGATTTGGAGCACGTTGGATTTCGGGTCTTCATCTCTGTTTGAGCTCAAACTTCGAGGTAAGGATACCCTACTCCTCTGTATGGGCTTTGTCTTTAAATTTTAGCATTTTTGATATGTTGGGGTTGATTTAGTAATTTTGTGGAAGTTTGGGGCTTTTGTGTAATTTTACAAAAGTTAGAGTTTTGTTTATATAAACCTATATGCATGTGTGGCATAGAAAGAAATGAGATTAATAATGATCTATTGAAGAAAATGGAACCTTAGGGTCGTTATGTTAATTATGGGAAATGTCCTAATTACATAGTTAAATTAATTGGTATAATTAATTTGGAGAAATGAAGAATTGAATTGAGGAAGTGAAATTGAAGATGTATGGAGTTAAAGGGTGTAGTCGAATTTAATTATTGCTCACCTAGTTGAAATGTTGATTATATGTCTATTTAATGCATTTAATTTCTGTTTAGAAATAACTGCTTTGGGCTATCAGTGGAGGATAGTCTTGATTGTTGTAGACAATGCATGATGACTAGGAAAACAAAAACTAGTCAATTGAGTATGCTATTGAATATAGCAGTTGGAATAATACATTAACTTTTGTATTAATTGACTGTGTATATGATCTATGTTTATATACATTGTGTTGTGTGGGAGAAAACCCCCGCTCGAGCGGAGAAGCAACAAAGAAGGCCTCGCTCGAGCATCTTGAGATCATTTGGGAGTTTGCAAGACCATTAGCCAAAAACAATGCCTCATCATCCACATAGTAAAAGCCTTTATTTATAGGCTTAGGAGAGAATGGTTAATTTTGGAAACTCCAAAATTGATTTTAATTTCTAAGAAAATAGCAAATTATGTTTTTATTTTTATGGACATATTTGCATTTAAATTTGAATTATTCCACAAAATATTGACAAAATATCTTCATGGCCCCTACACTTTTGGATTAACTCACTTGTCAAAATATGTTCACTCTTCTTTTGGTGTGAAAATGTAATTTTAAATGGGTTAAGATTCACAATTTTAGTTGGACTCACATTTATTTAAAAATTTTGACAATCTTAATTTTGGCCCATCAAGATTTTTTTTTTTTTCTTGATTAATCAAACCGCGATCAAGGCACGTAAAATTTGAGTGTCTAAAGTTGTGTTTTGAGTTATGAGAATTTTAAATAAGTTTTGAAAATGAAACATGTTTGGTTATGAGTTAAAATAAATATATATATATATATACTAGTGTATGCCCATGCCTAAAGGCACGGTGGAAATAATGTTGGGATTAATCTTCTCCTGTCCAATCTTTTATGTAGTACATGAAAAATTTATTCACAAAATAATTTCGGAAAAAATTTGTTCTTTTCTTATAGTATCACTGTTATTCTTATCCAAGCTATCAATCTTTCTCGTTCTAATTGAGGAGGTTGGTCTCATTTAAACTTCGGCTAAAATTCAAAAAAGAATATAATCTTAGTGATTGCAATATTAACAAACCATCTCTCTTATAATGTTTTTTTTTAAAAAAAAAAAGGCATGGAAAGAAAAATCGTGCACTGCTACTCACCCCCATTGTGCAAAATTAAAGTATATCAAAGCCCAAAATGTAGCAAGAAAAATGTATCAATTAGTTAAATAAAATGTATGATTAGCAAACTCATGAACATATTACACTCAAGTCTCAGTGATATTGTAGTATTAATTAGTTAGAACACTCATTCCACTTTCCTAAGCTTAAGTGTCAGACTCTTTATATTACACTTCTCTCTTGGTAAAGCTTAGTTAATAAACCAATTATAGAGAAAAAGAAAAATAGAAAGTAAAAAAAATAGAAACTAAACCTTAATTAACAAAACCACCCCTCTTTGGGCAATCAACTAACCCTCCAATCAAGCATATAAGTCTATGGATTACGCCAATCTTAAAAGATCAAGCACTATCTATAATAGTTGCAAAAGCAAAAATTATCAAGCACTAATTGAAAGTTCTAAACACATTATTAGATTTTAGCTCTTAAACACATTATCAAACACTAATGTTTATAAATGACTCCCTCCATCATCAAGCACATTCAGCAAATATATTTAATTTCTAAACTTAAGCATGTCAGTCTTTTAGAGACATGGAATTCAGCACTTAGGTAGATAACTTTTCAAGAAGCAATTTGTCTCACACCATTTTATTCATTTATCTGCACTTTTGCCTCCCTCTATCTCTACTCCTCCTCATCCCACACCCATACACCCTCTTTATTTTTTAATCTATGTAGCAAATATTTTATGCAACCAGACACGTGGGGTTCACCCAGGAAACTACTATATATGAAAAAAATGTTTCAAAGACACGTCCATACAGAGGGCAAAAAAAAAGAGAGATTTACTGACCAAGAAAAATGCTCTTTTGATAACCTTTATGGATATCTTTGGCAGCACCATGCAAGGAGCATCCATTTCAAAAATCTTCAAACCACAATCTCAAAAGAAATATTTCATAGACTCACAACTAAGATCCAATTGAGAGCATTCAAACTATTTAGAAGTAATGCAAACAAAAAAAGCAAAAAAACTGCTAATTTTTTTACTTTTTCCCAAAAACAAGAAATAATAATAAAAATAATTAGCAAAGAGAACATCATCCAAAAAATAGATAAGTTCATAAACTTAACCCAGTCAAGCAAAGGGGAACCTTTTCCTCACCCCAATCAAAAGTTTAGCAAAGGAGAACTTTTTCCTCAACCAAAAGGTTGATCATTCGATTAATCTTCCCTCACCTTCCATTCCCTGTGAATTAATAAACACATCAAACACATCGAATAGAGAAAAAATTTATCAAGCATTTGGTGAACATTGTAGTAATAGAAATTATATAGTGGTAAAACCAATTATTTTGAACTTTAATTATTGCAAAACTTCAATTATTCCAAGTGACATGAAGAAGTTGGTCTTTGAACTATGGAAATTGAGTAAAAGATTAAATCATCAACTTACAACATAAATGTACAAAAAATAAAAAATAGAAGCAAAAAAAGGGATAGAATCTTGATTACCTCTATTGATGGAGCCTTTACAACTATTCTCCTCACCAAATTCCGATGCCTCCGTCGCATGCACAAAGCATTAAGAATAAAAATATCAGCCTTACATGACTTGATAATTTCTTTGCAACACTCCAGCTCAACAAAAAATTGTGCATTAATTTTAGGAGAAAAGATCTTTCATACTTAAAACTAATTCCCTAGATAACAACTACCCCAAAAAAAAAAGAAAAAAGAAAAAAAGAAAATTACAACAATAAAAGACGGGTGTGTCCAACACAGATGAGGAGCTGAAGGGTTTGCACAAAATCTTGATTACCTCTATTGATGGAGCCTTTACAACTATTCTCTTCACCAAATTCTGATGCCTCCGTCGCATGTACAAAGCATTAAGAATAAAAACATCAGCCTTACATGACTTGCTAATTTCTTTGCAACACTCCAGCTCAACAAAAAATTGTGCATTAATTTTAGGAGAAAATATCTTCATACTTAAAACTAATTCCCTAGATAACAACTATCCCCCCCCCCCAAAAAAAAAGAAAAGTACAACAATAAAAGACGGGTGTGTCCAACACATATGAGGAGCTGAAGGGTTTGCACAATTCGAAAGGAAGATTCATCTTAATTTTATATATATTTCAACAACAACAACAACAAAAATAAAGAAATCTATAAATAAAACTAATAAAACTCCACTGACTTATGGATATAATGTTAAAGGGAATAAAGAGATATGAACAACAAACAAAAGAGGGAGGGAGAAAGTCAAATGATGGCATATAGTCAAAAGAAACCCTAGACGACATTTACAAATCAAACGAAAGGAAATTGATAGTTATATTTTCCATTTTAATCGACCATAATGAATCTAAGGAAAACTTTAACAGAGATACGTAGTAGGATCAAAATTTAAATTAAAAAAATAATAAGAAATTAATAAAGATTAGTCATGCATTGTGTTTCAATATGCATTATGAAACGTAAATATAGTGAAACATGCATTACTTTATCAACATAAATGGGACTACAGAGCATCAATCATAGAGTACACAACTAAAAGCAGTCATATAATATATATTTCGACAAAAGTTACTGTTGCATTCCCATAAAAAAAGACAAAATGAAGTAACCAAACATGCATATCAATGAATTTGAAATGTAGAGGTACCTGCATGAGAAGGTTAGATAGGAGGCGATGTTCAACTCCGGTAGATGCTAAGGGTGAAGCCAGATGCTGCAACCCGGCGGACTGGAGCCAACGTGCCATGACTGCATCTCCACCATCGCTCTCTGGACGACATTTACAAATCAAATGAAAGGAAACTAACATTTATATTTTCCATTTTAATTGACCATAATGAATCTGAGGAAAACTTAACAGAGATACGTATTACGATCAAAATTTAAATTAAAAAAATAATAAGAAATAAATAAAGATTAGTCTTGCATTGTGTTTCAATATGCATTATGAAACTGATAGCTATATTTTCCATTTTAATCGACCATAATGAATCTGAGAAAAGCTTTAACAGAGATACATAGTCGGATCAAAATTTAAATTAAAAAAAATAATAAGAAATAAATACAGATTAGTCTTGCATTGTGTTTCAATATGCATTATGAAATTGATAGCTATATTTTCCATTTTAATCGACCATAATGAATCTGAGAAAAGCTTTAACAGAGATACGTAGTAGGATCAAAATTTAAATTAAAAAAATAATAAGAAATAAATAGAGATTAGTCTTGCATTGTGTTTCAATATGCATTATGAAACGGATTGCTATATTTTCCATTTTAATCGACCATAATGAATCTGAGAAAAACTTTAACAAAGATACGTAGTAGGATCAAAATTTAAATTAAAAAAGTAATAAGAAATAAATAAAGATTAGTCTTGCATTGTGTTTCAATATGCATTATGAAGCGTAAATATAGTGAAACATGCATCACTTTATCAACATAAATGGGACTACGGAGCATCAATCATAGAGTATAGAACTAAAAGCAATCATATAATTCATAGTTCAACAAAAGTTACTGTTGCATTCCCATTAAAAAGACAATGAATAACCAAACAGGCATAGTAATGAATTTGAAATGTAAAGGAACGTACATGAGAAGGTTAGGTAGGAGGCGATGATCAATTCTAGTAGATGCCAAAGGTGAGGCCAAATGCTGCAAACCCGACGAACTGGAGCCAGCGTGCCAAGACTACATCTCCAGCATCGCTCCGGGCACCCTCATTGCGCATGGACCCTCTGCCAGGGTGATCATACGGAGCAATTGTCGTAGCAGCATTGCTCCATTGCATCTGGCCATCCATGTGGCGCTGCTGGCGTTGGGGAGCCAATTTTTTAAGATCTATCAAACAAATGCTACAATCACAGCACACACGAACAATTCAGTCAATTCAAAAATATACATCAACAAATCTACTAATCCAAGTAAAATATGCTCACCCGTAATTGATAGATTAAATTCAAAGCAACCACACAAGAATGCGATTTCCTTTCAAATGAAATTCAAATCCACATCAAACAGAATTTAATTGACTTCGATTAAAGCCTTCCAATGCAGATAAAAAATTAAAAAACATTGCGGAGAAAATAAATGTAGGAGATAATGCAATTGAAAACAAAGACAAACATACTTAAAGTACCAAATCCAGGGGAAAATGAACAATTTTTGGAGCAGATCGTGATTTCGACCTGTTGAATCGAGTGGTTCGGCATAAGAATTGTTGTTAGATCTGAAGCACCCATGAACAATTTAGTCAATTCAAAAACATACATCAACAAATCTACTGATACAAGTAAAATATACTCACCTGAAATCAATAGGTTAAATTTAAATCCAACAGAATTGTTCAAACATAATTCAATTTGAAGGGAAATCACGATTTCAGAATTCAATTTTGGAGCAGATCGTGATTTCGATCTGTCAGAATTTCAATTTGAAGGGAAATCACGATTTCAAAATTCAATTTTGGAGCAGATCGTGATTTCGATCTGTTGAATCGAGTGGTTCGGGATACAAATTGTAGTTAGATCTGAAGAAAATTGTCAAAATTTGAACAACAGCGAAAGCTGAACCTATTTCCTCCGTATGTGAAATACAACAGAGAGAGACCAAAATTACCTTGCAAAGGGAACAACCGAGAGTGGGAGAGAGGGAACCTTGCGAGTGGTGATGATGAGCAGCGGCAAATCGACTTCAACAAAGACAACAACGATGAACAACAGAGCTAGATTGAAGATGAATTTCGGAAGAGAGATAAATAGGAAATGAGGAGGAGACGTGAGAACAGAGAGGAGAGAAAGACAAAGAGAGAAGGTGGGGAGGAGAAGGGGGTATGTGGGAAGGGTAAGGCAGAGACGTGTTTAGCCAGCTGTGAGAGAGAGAGAGCAGAAAGTGTTTGGGTGGGAAAAAATTCATCACAACCGTTGGATATTGATTAGGAATTATCTCAGCCATTTAAATGAAATGTATCTATGATACATTTTATATATTTTCAAAAACCGTTCTGTCTTATTATATAGATATTATTATATTGAGATTTGAGTTTGTATTGGTGTGAATTATATATAATAAAATATTTTTATATTAGGTGATCGTTAATGTGTCATTTTCTATCTAATTTTTAACAAAAGTTAACTTTATGAGTTAATTAGGAAAAACATGAAATAAAAAAGGCTAAAGGGAGAAAAATTAAAATTTTAAAGTTAAAGTAAAAAAGTAATTAAACATAAAAGAGACAGAATATAACTTATCCTGTTTATATTTCATACCTATATGTATATAGGGAACCATTCATAAGTTCATTAAGCTGTCCCTATCCTCAACTTTGAAAAATTTTAGCTGTTAAACCACACTTTAGTGTTTTTTGGTTGAATACCACACTTTAGTTTTGGTATTTATACGAGCATAAGAAAAGTCATTGGAATCAAACTGGTAGTATGAAGGCAACTGACACTACACTTTTGGCGATTAAAAAAAATTTAGTCGCCAAAAGTTGTGGGATTTCCGACCAAAAATTATATTAGTCTGCAAAAGTACAAGATTTAGCTGCTAATTTTTTTTTTAGTCAGGGTATATTGCTTATTGGCGACTAAATTTTGTTTAGTCGCTAAAAATGCCACAATTGGTGACAAATGTTTTTTTAGTCATTGTAAAGTTAGTTTTGGTTACTAAAATTATTTCGTTGCCAAATGGAAAACAAAAAATTACTTTTTATCTTTGGCGACCAAAATTTTCAAGGACTAAAACATATTTAGTCGCCGTAGAGTTAGTTTTGGCTACTAAAATTATTTAGTCGCCAAATGAAAAACAAAAAATTACCTTTTATCTTTGGTGACCAAAAGTTTGGTTTTCAAAAATTTATTTTCAACGACTAAAACATATTTTTAGTTGCTGTAGAGTTAGTTTTGGCTGCTAAAATTATTAGTTGCCAAATAAAAAAAATTACTTTTTATCTTTCGGCAACGAAAAGTTTGGTTGCCAAAAATTTATAATTATAAGTTTTGGAGGGAGAATTTCGAATTTTGAAGGGATTCTAAATTAATTGGTGACTAAAGTATTTAGTCAGGAAAAAAATACACATCCATTTCTTATTAGCGACTAAAACAGTTAGTCGGGAAAATGTGGATTGCTAGGGTTTCAAAATCAATTACCGTTTTAATACAATATTTACCTCTACGTCCCTCTCACGCCTATCTGTCTGTCTGTCTCTGTCTCTCTCTCTCTCTCTCTTTCTCTCTCTTATGCATAGTGACTCTCTCTCATGCATCTGTCCTCCTCCTTCAACGCTATCTCTCTCTATGTCTCCGTAGCCGTTGAGTATAGGAGCATCATCGTCATCGCACCAACGTCGATCCACCATTGGAGCATTACTCCAGGTATGTCCCTTTCTCTCTCTCTCTCTCTCTTGCTATCTCTATTTTCTTCCAGTCGCATACCTTCACCCAAACCCAGCCCCAAATTGACCCATCTACTAACATTGAGTTCAATCCAGATTCCTTCTTCACCATGAACAACCACCATCAGCCCTATTTTCCCTTTTATCGCTACTTCTCTCTCTCTCTCTCTCTCTCTATATATATATATATATATATAATTGTTATATGAATTTGGCTATGGTGAGAGTATGCGGATGGCTTGTTCGATGAAATTCTAAAACAGGTTTTGAATTAGAGAAATCATGATAGTCTGTTGGATGACTTGGGTTTGAAACTAGTCCGTAGAGGACTAGTTTATCGGCATCCTTTGTTGTT